ATTTAATGAGTGGTGGTGCCGCAGGTGCTACATCTCTGTGTTTCGTGTATCCACTTGATTTTGCTCGTACTCGTCTTGCGGTTGATGTTGGCAAAGGTGCAACTCGCGAATTTAATGGGTTGATAGATTGTTTGGTAAAAGTCGTTAAAAGCGATGGTCCAGTTGGGCTATACCGTGGTTTTATGGTGTCGGTACAAGGCATCATTGTTTATCGTGCAGCTTACTTCGGTCTTTTTGATACAATCAAAATGATGGTTTCTACAGACAAAAAGAAACTTAATTTCTTCGTTGCTTGGATGATTGCCCAGGTTTGTTCGTTTGCTTGAAATTTGTTGATCCGTTATCGAGATAGAATGAATTCGTGAATTTTTCTGCCTCAGAGAAAATTTGAATTTGTTCACTTTTTTCTCAGTGATTTGCGGAGACGTGCTTTTGACGGAATCAAACCACATGCATGTCTACACATACAGTTAACGTACGGTTGTTGTAGGTCGTAACTGTTGGATCTGGAATTCTCTCATACCCGTGGGATACTGTGCGTCGACGAATGATGATGCAATCCGGTCGCAAAGAAATACTTTACACAAATACTTGGGATTGTGCAAAGAAAGTTGTTGCCAACGAAGGATTCACAGCACTTTACAAAGGTGCTCTTTCCAATGTCTTCCGAGGCACAGGTGGCGCACTTGTATTAGCTATTTACGATGAGATCCAAAAATATTTATAAACTGCCGGTGATAAGTCTAGGTATTTCGAATATACGGACGACATCTGGTTCTTTTTATCATATTCACCATATGATGAGATTCACTATCAGCTATAATTACATTCAAGCAGTGCTCCGTTTATCGTACATAATGTTTACTCTTGTCATTTCTAATTACTTGTACTTCATTTCACGACTTAGGATTCGAAAACTGATCAAAATAGTGCATTGTGTGGGATGTGAGCAATTTAACATTATTTGTTCTGTAATTTCACTTCCCAGTAGGATACCTCATTATGTTCATTTATTCTCCAGCTACTTTTCTATATGTTGTTGCTAGGTTGGCCATATATGGCAGAGCTCAGACTCGTTTATTATGCGTTTCTCATAATTTTGATAAACATTGTAAGACAATAGTATAAGATCATATGCTATTGACGGAAAAAATATGCTCTAACCACAAGCTGTCTTTTTTCGCATCCTACATCTCCCCAAATGGTTCTGGGAACAAAGTTTTTATTGAGAGCCGGAAACAAGTTTTAGGATTTGGTAACTAGTTTCATTCTTGAAAGGTAGTCCATTGATACATGAACTCCAACGATACACCAGAATGTTTGATTCGAAATGAAGTTTAAAGAATTCCTCGGATTGCATAAAACCACTATTTAAATCCCGCAATATAAATCTGTCATCAGTTTGAATAAAGTAAAAAAATTAAAAGAAGGAATGTTGAAGGGAGAGACCATTTATAATGGAAAGAAATTATGCCCGACTTACATATTAAAAAGTTCGGAAAACCCATAAATGGACAAAAATACACAGCAACGAGATCATTAATGCATACGACTTGATTTAAATTATCTGAAAACAATTTTTAGTGTAAATCAGCAGTCAGTAATATCACTGAAGTAGTCATGACGTAACGCTACTTCGGCATCGATACGACGAGATGGATTACAAATCAGGAGTCGCTAAAATAAACATGTCAACTGACGAGTGCATAAATTACCGGAAAAAAGAAGTGATTACTCCATTCGATTGTAAACATTTTGAAGGCAAAAGGGACCGCATTGTACAAACAATGTGGAAGTTAATGTTGTAATTTCCTACTGGAAACAAGAGTGGACAAACGGAAAGAAAAATCGCAGTTGGGGACCTCATTTGCGTTGTATTCAGAACAATGGAAGTGCACGGAGCATTATAGACATACCTGAAGTAAGTCGCGACCGCGTGCGGGAAGATTAGGTACCACTTGTCCAATTGTGAGAGAGGGGTGATACAGAGGCATCGGCTGGAAGGAAATAAGAGTTTTCAGAATTAAACTTCGGTGAGAACTGACAGTGGAAAACAATGCATCTTGAACTTCGGATTTCCGCAACTTTTGAGAAAAGTAATAAAGCTTAGATTTTAGAGCTCCGGAATTTTTAACAACCTTGAATTCAGGAAGCTGCGAAAGACCTGGCCATGTGGCATCCGTAGGAGTACCCAGCATTTTGAAAATCCTTTTTAGCTGGTCATCAACATCAGCTCCTGGGAAAAGCGGCCTTCCAGCATTTGAGATTTCTGGAAATTCCTAACTATAACATCTAGAAATAAAAACAACAAAGAAATGGGACCATTTTATATTCCGTGAATATGAGAGACCTACCAGCAAAAATACATCCAGCAGACCACATATCAATTGAAGTATTGTAAAGTTTTGCACCAAAGAGGACATCAGGAGGTCGATACCATAACGTAACAACCTTAACTAATACTTTCATAAAAGCTTCCCCATATTCAAAATGTTATTAAATTTGCTAATTAAAGCCAATGTCATTTATTAAATCGTTTTTTGAAATTCACAACATAGAAATAACTAAAAACAAACTTCGGCGCTATAACATCTCACAGGTATGCCAAATGCCCGTGCCAATCCAAAATCTGCCAATTTCAACTGCATATTAGTATTTATTAGTAAATTCTGGGGTTTTAGATCACGATGAAGAACGTTGTGTGAATGACAGAAGGCTAATCCACATAACAACTGCTGCATAAGTGACTTCACTATCTGAAAATTCAAATATTCAGGGAAACTTTTTAGATTATGAAGTGCAATAACGTAGTTTAGAATTTAAACTTAAACTAATAATGTCAAACAAACACTTTTAAAGTCTTGGAGTACTATTAATTTCCTTAAATCTTATAACGTAAATCAGACTATGATTAAAGAACAAGTGTGAGGTAGTAAGGAGTATTTCCGATACAACATATCTTAAAAGGTTGTCGTTAAATTTAAATAAGCAATACAGCTTCAAACTAAGACCTTGGACAAAATATGATTATATGAATTCAAATAATTTAAAATTACATTATAAAGTAATGAACATTACCTGTTGATCAATTTCACCACTGCACGAATCGAAATATTTTTTTAAATCCTGATCACAATATTCAAAAACTAACGTAAGCTTACGCTCACTATGCACTACATCGTATAAGCGAACGATATTTTGATGTTTGAGCTCTTTTAATAAACATATTTCACGTAGTGCCGAACTTGGAACACCCTAAAAAACTTTGTACATACATGAACACTTTATTCAGTATTTTAATACTTTAAGTGAATAAAATATTTATAAATTTACCCACGGTCTAAACATCTAATTAAATTCCGAATACCGCTGATTAACTATGTGTAAATATCATCGAGATAGAAAAATAAAAATCACTGATTTGATTTGAGACAATACTGATCTGGTGATTTCAACAACCAGCTTAGCTAGAAAAAATAACAAGGAAGCAAACCTCGTCGTCATCATCTAAACGTACACATTTCATTGCTACAATCTCTTGAGTGTCACAATTCTTAGCCTTAAAAACAGTTCCATATGTGCCTAAAAGATCAGAATGACGAATTTCATGTAGTCCTAACAGACTGCAACATTTCTGAAAATTGTGACAATAGTGCCAGTCTTGAAATTTTAGAAATTGCGGAAGAACAACAAAAACTTTAAATTTTGACTTAAAATAGTTAGGTGAGAAAGTAATAGATGGTTTCGTAAAGTAGTAAATTCAAAAATGATATTTAAACAATTCGGAATATTTATAAAAAATTCCTAGATTTTGTCCTGTTAAAATTCAGCATTTGCCTCACTAATTAGCAAATGGAATAACTTATTGTTTGAATAATTTTTAAAATAAAATTGAATCCCGGACTTTATCTTCAAACAGAAAGACAGTGAAAATCTTACTGTTCGTTTTAAAAGAAATAAATGAAACAGAGAAAAGCAAATAAATAATACAAACCCTCTCCTATTTTCTCTAACTTCTCGTAATTTTTCATTTCAGTTCAACACGTGCTCTATCAATTTATCACGTTGATGCTTTACGTAAGTATGCTTTTTGATTACTTCTTACGTCTACGTTTGATGCACGTATCCTTTTCTTTACTTTGTGATATAATTCAACTTTCGTTGACTGTCCATCACACTTTCTGCTAGTTCCACTTGATATATCTCAAAATATATCTGAAATTTATTGTAGAAATCAAAAAGCTCGCATAGAATTAATCGACTAATCAACTGAACTCCACTGAGGAAAATCCCAAACCTCCCAATTCAATTGAAGCTCAAACCTTACAACAGCACACATAGGATGAAAAGTTTTCAGAATGGTGTCTCACAGGTAGCCTCATATCCGTATAACTCTTGCGTGTTTCGGGTGTTCGCGGCATCGCGGTACCAGAAGGCGGGTCTGTATGTTTACGTTTTTTATTGATGTTTGTTTTTAAAGAAATATTTGTGTAAAACTAATGGATTTTTTTGTGAATCACGGACGGAAATTTACCTTAGAATAGATTGAACGGGTTGTAGCTTCTGGAAACGTATAATACTTAGAAAAACTGTATGGCATCGAATAAAGATCAATGTGATGGTTATTTGCATTGTGAATTGTGAAATATCACAGACGATCAAGCATTTAGAGCGGATTTATGATATGATATATCGGAAATAATTAGTACAAATGTTACTGAAAGGAATCATCATGGAGGAATGTTTTACGCAGACTTAAAAACATTACCTCGAAATACTCCGAAGCCATCTTATTTCCTTTATCATATGCTCTAAACATTTTATGTGTAATCTGCAGAATACTTTTTTAAACAGATATATCAGATCTGGAAAATGTTGCTAATGTTAAATTATTTGAATTGTTTGGAGTTATGTGCAGTATATCGGCAAGGTCATAGTTAGTTGTAATAATATTTATTCTAAATATTCACGGGCAATTTTCATCAATATCTTTTCTGGGGCTAGCTGAAATGTCGATCAGAAATTGCCGGACGTTTCCGGCTCCTCATAATTTTCATTATTGTGTGGATGATAGCAGTAGCATTGTATGTATCCGAATTACTTCCGCTGCAGTCATTCTTTGTGACACAACTGCAGGTGCACGTTTCGTCATTCCATATCTTATTTGGACCTTAAGTGTAACGTTTTTTAAACTTTTGAACTGAGGTCTACAATTTTTTCTTTTTGCTTATTTCTATGCAAAAAAAAAAAAAAAAAAAAAAAAGAATGATTCTGGAAAGTTAAAGGAAACAAAGAAGGTGATAAAACTTTTCTTTCATCTTGGGGTGGAGACCTCAAAATCCAGTTAAAACGAAAAATGGAATCCCATTTACAGAATAGGATTTGAAAGTGATTGTCTATTCGATTCTGATTGATATTTGTCTATAGATTAAAAAAAGGTCGTTTATGAAAGTTGATTTATCCGCTTGGAAGATATGTATTTGATTACCATTGTAAATCCAAATTTATCATTTCATTGAAAGAGGTTATTGAAATTTCTTTTTCGTATAAAATAAATTGGAGTCACTGAAGTCAAAATAATACTAAAAAAAAGCAAAAAAAAAAATGAAAATTGAAAACCATTGAAATGAATTAGAATTCTAACTGCAGCACCGTCCATTGAAATGAGTTAAAATTCATCCTTCACTTGTAATTTTTTGTAATGAAAAATGTATTTTAAATCCAATTTTTTCTAAACATTAGAAACCTTGACAATTTTTTTTCTCTTCTCGATTTCTGCATTCACATTTACAGTCCGGACTAACAACTTTCTTTTGCGGGCACTGAATAGCTGCGCCAAATCGAGTGCATATTCGGCAACTACAAGCAGTATGTTGTTCGACCGTTATATTTCGCGTTTGATTGATTACAAATAGATTATTACCTGCATACAGCATTTCAATAATCTGCAATAAATTATCACATACTTTTATCTGTAAACGAAAAATTGAATACTAATCCGCACCAAATTTGCATGTTTTTCAGCAGAAATGATAATATTCATACAATTCCTTTTTGCTTTCGTTAATATTATCTAATCGACTTGTGCTCTTTTTTTGTTAATATTGATGATACATTTTTATAATCAATCAGTAGGCCATAGATAATTGGGAAAGCATAAATTATTCCATCAGTGAATAACGATCATAAATTCATAATAATTAATTGGGATGAATAAACGTCAAATATATGCTAAGCTATCAAGTATTTTAGTTATCAAATTGAAGGCCGATGTTAAGAATAGCGTGAAATCATGTTAAAAATACATCAGTATTGTGCATTAACATAAATAAGTTCGCTCATAGTGATTTTACTGTATGTTTTTATATATGAGACATAATCATGCATTAATAATTGAGAAAAATGAAAAGCGAAAGAATGAGGGAACCTATTATATGAGCCATCATCACTTAATTTGGAATTTGTGTTAGGTTAGTGCTACTATTATTTACATTACTTCTTATTGGTCGATAAAGATAGCTTTACTTGCAACAGTATTTTAACGATAGGTAAAAGAAAATTTTTTTGACAATTTAAAAATTTTTAATTTTTTTTTTAATAAAATTTTTAATATTAGATAAATGAATGTAGTAATTAATTTAGGTCAAGAAATTTCGAATAAATTAAAAATTTCACTACATTTATTGGAATGGAATGGAATAAAAGGAGGAAAGAAAGGAAAAAAATAAAAATGGAAGTATATATTTTAGAAATATTACCGGTTGTTGAATATATTCGGTACTGGTTGGACGGCAATGTTCGGTAAATTCACAACACGATCCAATACATTGTGTTATTTCATAGCATTTCGGAAATATCAATAATCCAGGGTCAGGATTTTCCGGTAATATAGGAATACAAGCTTTTTGCAACTCACATTTATCTTCACCTTGTCGAATTGTGCGCAGTATCGCCAAGCTGCTCACTGTATTATCTAATTTACAGATTTTATTTTGCTGCAATAACTGCACTATTATGATCATCCTTATGAATTATTGTGAAAGTAAAGTTAAATCAAAAATTGAATGATTTAATAAATTTATATCAAATCATTTTTTTTTTCCTTTTTGTCTTTAATATTATCAGATCCCTATTATTTACTGTTAAAATTTTGCATACTCCTTAATTTTAGTGTAAAAATACTAGTTATAGCTTATCAAACATATTACGATTTAAAAATATAAAAAAAAAAGTGTATGAAAAAAAGCCTTCATAAAAATTGGAATTAAATGTAATACAAAAAACGTTTCGCAGGCATTTCAATTTTTCTATTTCTCAACGCAGTAATGGTTGTATTATCATTAGCAATATTATGAGAAATCGTTTACTTTACTTTTGTTAATGTTTCCAAGTTATTCCTTTGGTATCACTACTGAACATTAATTCACTTATGTTCAGTTATGGAATCTAAGAAGTAGTAGATGGATTTCATAAAACTTCTGATCTACTAAAATAACTGTTGATAGTAGTGGTAGGAGCTAATATCGATACTTTTAGCAGCACAATTTTATTTTGAAAATTCTTTTTTTTTTCCTTAATTGAAGAATATAATATCAGAAGCATTTAATCTCGATCAATGTACTTTAAATTTATGATAATGTAAAGAGAATTCTTCATCTTTATTTTTTTATAATCTCACTTCTGAGTTTGGTAATAACTTAAGAGTCGATATTATTATTTATTTGTGTTGTGTATTATTATTATTATTGTTTATTAACTATTATTACTATTAATTAGTTGTTAATTATTACTGATACAATATAATCAAATAAATGTACGTAAGTGAAATCCAAATAATAATGACAATAATATCATGTTCTTTTTTTTGTTTTTTATAAAATTCTTGCAATCTTTTTTTTTCAGAATGCAATAGAAAAGAGTATGAAATATGCAAAACTGAACAAACCATCGGCAGTTTGTTGAGAATTGGATTTTCTTGATAGATCAAGTCCGCGAAATCCAAGGAACTCAGCATTTTGCGTGCGGTTCATGTAAGACCCTATTTCAGTAGCTTGTAATACCTTGTGATGCTTCAACATTGATTTGCCCCCATTTCGAAGTAAATGTGGTGCAAACGAAAGTTGTATGACGGGTAGCAGTTCACTGAATGTACGCGCTTGGCTTACCTTTTCACGTATCTCATCAGGTATAGTTTTTTGCGCTAACGAATATTCATCCAGCAATATTAGTAGTAATATCGGTAGTATCAGGGTAAACAGTGACATAATCTGCAGTATACAAATTTTAAATTGTTTTTTAAATCTAGTTTTACTTTTTCTATTTAATATTTTTAAGATGAATACTTAGGTTTTCCATGTAGTCTCAACATATATCAATTTACACTTTCAAATGCATTTCTAGTTTATGGTGAAAATCCAGTTTAGATTTTATATAATTAGAGTTTAACAGACAATTATAATCTTAATCATTAGTTATAGTTATTCAGTAAACTTGAGGTAAGGATTTTTCTTTTTCAACTAATATTAAGGCATATCCTTTAGGTATCTGCTAAATGGAATTTGTTGAAATTAAAAAAAAAAGCGAAATTTGGTAAGATTTCTAGTTTAAGATGAGAAAAAGAACTAGATTTAATGAAAACTATAATATATGAAAGAAGTGAAGTCTCCAAGTAATTCGAGGATGGATATAAAGATATTAGTTTAAGCAACTGTGTTTCGAGCATTTGATCATTTGTTAAATGTTATATCATTAATTTTCTTCTTTTATAATGTTATCGAACATTTTATTTCTCCCTTTTCAATTTCTACCATTGATTTGACATAATTTTCAAGAAGAAGAATGAAAATTGTTCCAGTTAAAATTTTTATGGATAGTTTTTTTTGTAAATGAAAAGAAGCTCACAGCTGAGGTAAGTTATTGATTTCGAAAAAATGATTTCAAATAATTGATCACTTTTCTAAGGATGGATGTTTGATGGGCAAAAGATGGGAGGTTAAGTTTAAAATGACATTAAACTTCACTGAAATATGATAATACAACAGCGCTATAGTATAATAATATCTGTAAAATGCATTGTATATTGGACTTTTTAATGTTAAGCAGCATCGTGATGATTCATCAATGCTAGTTCTTTTTTGATTATATAATGGCATCCTCTCGTAAAATTCATTCATTTTCAGGACAGAAATTGGTTTTACAACAGAGATCTGAACTTTGATCTTTCTTTGCAAGAATATCCCTTTGAAGTTGGTGCGAGGTTTTCTTTAATTTTCAAATTTGCTAAATTTAATAATCTCTGGTTTTGAAACTTAACCTCAGGTTAGGTTGATTGGTTTAATTATCTCTATTGACAACATACTTTTCTACTAGCTTATAATTGATTTGCTTACATTTTTATGCTTATAGTACAAAACATTATACTGAATGATGGATTTTTAAGATGATTTGTTAAGTTTTTTTATTTATTTTTGAGTCGTTGTAATAGTATATTTTGACCTGGTAAATTAGCTTAATGCTGGAGTCATACGAGATATTGTTTAATGTAAGCCATCTTCAGAAGCCCCAGTCCACGATACATTCATTTCTAATCATGATCAAATGTTTTCGGGTCTTATGATCATTTCAATAAATTATGATTCTCCTTCTTCTTCCTGCTCTAGATTCTCTTGTACTAGTTTGTTTTTGTTATTTACTAAGGTATTACCACTTCAATCATTAGAATCGAATTATATCATTTGAAAAAACTATAAAAAGCGAGGGAAAAATATTGAATAATTAGTTTAACAATAACAGTTTAGTGTTCGAAAAATAGGAATTATTGTTGGATTAATTATTCGACACAAATTGGAAAGTTTTTTTTTAGTTTCTTATCTCATTCTGTAGTGATATCATTTGAAAATACGTTAGCTTGAATGGATTTTGCAATTTTAATTCCATTTAGTCTTTTTTGAAACAGACTAGTAGATCTGTTGCTTAGAAAGAAAGTCACAATGATACGGTTGAATGAATTTTGACAAATGTGGTGTATTGTAGTTGAAGGGTGCTAGTGCTGATTGATTTGTCCTCTTTTCACTTCCATTATATGTCTGTAGAAGGTGTGCTGCTGCATCATTCACACATTTTTTATTTCTCTTTGTAAGTTTGTTGTCAAACAAAATTTTTATTTATTGCAAGCAAATCATCTGAAATGGTTGCAAATTACATGTGAAAGCTGAAATAAAAAAAGCATGAGGTATCGTATCATTTCAAACAAATTGTACATACCTCAGCAGATTACAATATTTCCTGTTTTTTCAGTTTATAATATTTCTTCTTCTTTGAAACATTTTCTATGAATATGTTGATTTTTTTGAATCTTTTAAACCCTCTTTTAATATGATGAAAAAAGAACTTCTTTGAATATTTTAAAAGTTTGCTTCATTATTCGCTGCCTTGCGCTATATCGAATGACTATGGTCTTTAAATTGTATACTTGCTTGCTATTTAAATTCCAGTGAAACTACAAAATAACTTATTTCATTTAGGGATGAAAACAGATGCATTTCATTCAATTGACATGATAATATTTAGTGTCATTGAAACATTTTTGATAGGATTGCCACCAAAATGTCTATAAATGTGTATGAACCCGTAACAAAAACAAGTAGTTGATTGGTAGTGGTGGCGGTGTTAAGAAATGCGCACAGTAAGTGGCAGAGTGTTGATATGTTGTCCCAATCTGGTATATCACTTTCCATGCCCTCATCCTCTTAGTCACATGTTCGAATTATTCGTAAATCATAAGGAACCATAACATTTAATTGGGTGGGTATCGCGACGGGAAGATGGAGAATTTGGGAATGTAGATGAATTGAGCTGGCAGTTATTGTGCAGAGGACAGATTCGGGGAAAGAAAAAGTGAAGAGATGAAAAGGAAGAGGTTGGAAAATATATATATTGATGTTTGTTATATAACATGTGGTAACGTTTGAAGTATTGTAAATAATGTCTGGTTAGTAAATAAGGAATAAAATTTAATAGGGAAGATTAGACAGAGATGATAAAGCTGAGATATTTTCAGGAAAGAGAGAGTGAGAGAAGCGTGTTTAATAAGTGTTTACATGTGTACTTAATAAATATGTACATATGTGATGTAGTGGCATTTGGTATGAAATGAAGTGAGAGGAGGAGAGGTAGAGAGGACTGAGTGAGATGTATGATCTAGGATTAATGAAGTGGAGGTAGAAAGGGGTGGCAAATAAATGATGTAGAGGTACTGTAAAGGATGTGAGTAGATGACCATGATGTGAAGCAAGATATTTTGTTTATAATGAGAAATGATTATTACAAAAGCTGTATAAAATGAATTAGTTATTTTGAAATGATTGGTAATTTTTTGTGCTAAATTACCAAGGTAATATGACTTATTTTAGAGAAAAATTGTAAAAATGAGAAAATTTGAAAGAAAACTTTTCCCTTCCTTATTGTCTTTCCCCTCTTTAGCTGGGTTCAGTTGGAATTATTTATCAGTTTATCATTATATGAAGCAAAAGTAATAGTGGACTGAATACAACAGAAATAACATCAAAAAGATGAAGTAGTTTTATTTTTTTAAACAGAACTTAAGTTATAATACCGGATTTCTTTCAGGAATAGTTTTATTAAATAACTTAAGGATGATGGTTAGCAGTGAGAGCTCAGAAAAATGAAACCAAATGTTAACGAACCTTATAAATAATTTTCATCAATGTTTAATCAATAGGAATGGAGATATTAAAGATAAGTTGAATGAATACATTTGAATTACAATTCTCATTCACACAAGATAATTTTTATATTAGCTTTTCATTTTATGTTAGTGATCATCTTAGGGTGATCTTTTCCTACTAACCATCAACCTTAAGTTGTTATTTAAGAAACCATTCTTTAAGTTTTGTTTTAAGAAAATAAAATTACTTTTTTGACGTTAATTCCATCGTATCAGTCATTCAGATACTTGTTTCTCAATATCATTAGTAAATATTAGTTATGTTTCTGTTATCTATTTTATTTCAGGAATAAAAGATGATTTATCGGATGACTTTTTTCTCTGTTCATAGGACAATTCGTGAAACTTTACATTAGTTACTTTGCATCAAGAATGTACCTTACGAATTATTAAACTTGACAGCCATTTACACTAGAGGAGCTGACCTTCACTTATTTGAATTCAAGTCTGCATATACATAAAATTAAGATGATGTGCTGCGCTAAATACCCAAGTGATCAGCTCAGTGTTTCATTGACAATTCGACTATTTCATACGTTTTTCCTTTTTTTATGTATTTGTAGTTTTACTCTGATATTTAACGAGGTACCTATTCGTTGTATCGCTAGTCGTTACCCTTTGTACGATTATTCTTTTTTGTCTTTTGTTGATATATATACTTAATTATCTGATACGCATTTGCAGGTATTAAATGACTTCAAAAGGAAAGGAAATTTATAACACGATAAAACGTTCCCTTGGCTCTCAGTCATTTGGCATTGCTGGTTCATCGAATCATACGAACGGAGTTCGATATTCTGGTGGTACTTCATCTAAATGGATACATCCACCTGGTTTGTTTATTAGTTTGTACCGTACCGCTGAAGACTTTCCGGAATTATTTGTCATTCAAATCTTTCTCATTTGAAAATGTTCCGGAAGATGTTCTACTATTGCAGATGTATTATTAAATGGTCGTGTCGAGTATTCCGTGAAAATGCTTGGTTTTGCGGAAGTATCGGAACCGAAGGGAACACATGTGATTCGGGATGCTATTCATGCGATACGATTTCAGTTGCAAGTAATAGTTCTTTTCGTAAACCCTCAGTTCTTTTTTGATCTTCTATTTTCACTACTTGCTTAAGAACTCTTCTTTCGGAGTTATGGTTTGGATTTTAGAAAAAATACCGAAGAGTATTTTCATCAAATCAAGGAAAAAAAATATGTTCAAGACTTATGCTGCCATCTCAATGCTTCTTAATATTTTCAAATAATCTAGATAAGTCGAGGAGTTACGGGACATTCGGGAGCAAAACTTAAGAAGGTGGACTTGCAAATCAATGTGGATGGTTTAACAGTTATCGAAACAAAGACAAAAATGATTTTATTCAAGTATCCCCTCCACCGAATTTCATTTTGTGCCGATGACAAGCAGGTTTTTTTTATATCATCTTTTTTAATCTTATCTGCTGGTAAAATCCTGTCGGAAATTGATTTTAATTTTTGCATAAATCGTTTTGCTTCAAAAAAATAGCTTCT